TGCTGTCCACGCTTCTAGGTCTCCAGCTTGTTTCCTGCTTCTGTTTGGTGACAGTGACATGGATTTTGCTTTATGTCTCTGCACAGTCTAGGTGCACTGAAAATAAAAGTCCTGATCTAAGGATACCTTTGCCCTCCAACTCTCTGCCTCAGGGCTGGCATCACCACAGCCTTCCTGAGGGCCTGGCCTTCAGCCAGGTTGTAAATATTTGTCCGGAAGGGGCTCAAAGTTTACTTGCTTTTTGACTTGTCTTTTTTTTTTTTTTTCCCCCTTTGGTGAGGATTTGCTCCCTCTTCCTCTCTGACTCTTTCAGCCCGAAATAATCTCTCACTATCTTTTTGAAACTCCCAGAATTAAGAAAACCCCAAACCCAGTAAGATAACAGGAAAAGGGCATTTACCTCGTAAAGCTGGAACTTTCATTGGTTTGTTTCCCTGCCAGGGACAAGTCATGATAAGTCCCTTTTATCATCAAGTCTTTACGAAGCATCTAATTGTAACTGGCAGGTGGGGAGAGTACAAACAAACACAATTACTGTGCAGAAACCCGCTCAGCCTTTCAGGAGTTGAGATTCAGACACCAGAACCATGGACACTCACGTACGTTGGAAGTGACCAAATGTCCTCATTTTATGGGGTAAATTCTAACTTCCTTTCCCTTTGATCTCCCATTTTTTACTAGTGATGTGCGCTTAGGCAAGTCTTTGATCTCTCTTGGCTTTGAGTAGGGATAATAAGATCTTACCTGACGTCGGGGCTCAGAATACACAATATCCAAAAAATGTGCACGTATGCCTAAAAGTCTCACAGAAAGAAATGAAAAAAGGATTGTGAGGTGACCATGCCCCATTGGAGGGTGCTTTCTCCCTCTCCTTCTTCATTTTCTGGCTCTCTTTGGGGAGCACGTGCGCCTTCTGGCAAGGTTTTTTTTTTGTTTTTTTTTTCGTTCTTAAAGGTTTTTGCCATAGGGCACATGCACTCGCCAGATACAGAGCCAGTGCCAGGGAAAGTGAGAAATCACCTTGCAGGGGAGTGGCTATACTGCAATCCCTTCCCCTCCATTTTCTTCTCAGGATTTTGGGCTCACATGCGCATGTGCCCAGCATGAGTTCCAAACTGGCCAGGTCTAGCACTTGAACTGTGGTCAGCCATGCAGGAGTCTAGTGCCTTAACCACCGCACACCTGCTGGCAAAGTTTTTTTTTTTTTTTTTTTTTTAATACCTATTCCTGTGTCTGAAAAAATAAGGGCTCCATCTGCATCTCTTTCCAGGTGGCCCTGAGACAGACACTGACAGCTCTTCTGCAGTTCTTACACAAGCTGGAACAGTGCGGAGTGCTCACAAATAGTTCATCGCCATTTACTCTTGGATGAACTCATGTGGTTTTGTTCGTTTTCCAGACAAGGAAACTGACGTCCAGGGAGGTTTCAGTAACGAGTTTGTACAAGGTGATCTTCAGTGTGCGAGATGGTCAGTCACTAGGACTCACACTTTTGGTCATTGAAATAACTCTTGTCCATCCATGTAGACACCAGGAATATTACTTATATGAGGAAGGCGGTGGCGATTAGGTTCTGGGCACTCTCCAGTGTAGATTGTGTAGAAAGTAAAGGAGCAGCAAAAAATGCTGTCTCCCTGCAGGCTGGGTGGTGGGGCAGCAGTGAAATGTGATGG